ATAAAAACTGCAGCATATGGGACCGGTAGAAACATTTATGTTTCGTGAATGGCCGATTAGCACGCGTACTCAATCCTACTGCTTTCGTTACCGCTATTGGTGGTCTTCGTGGTCTTCGTTTTTCGCACGATCGGCTTCTTATTTCTTTGAGAATCTCTGGTACGTTGCTTGAATAAACGTGAATTCCCAAGAAGACAGAATATTAACGTAATGTTATATTTTTCGAATATTTTAGTATTCGAATGTTACATTGTCAGAACAGAATTATTAGAATCTATTGCCAGCAGATATTCTACTCTGGTGATGTAATATTCGAATATAGAGTTAATCACACGAGAAAGAGACTTCGCTGTAAGTAAAGCATCTTGGAGAAGTTCTTGAAGAAATACTACAAGAACGCCAAATCGTTCGAGGAAAAAAGATCGTGAAGAAGTGCGGCAGGGTTAACCCTTTGACCGGGGATGACTCGTCATTGGAACATATTTATTAATTTTCCAAGACAAGTCGTAAAACTTTAATCGACTCGTCTCGTAAAGCTTCAAATATTTTCCAATGATTAACTCGTCATGAAACTCTAAAGTTCTTCCCAATCTCTCCCGCGACTTTGAAGTTTTATGACGATGAACCCATCGTCCTCGATCGATGGTTGTGTACTCAACGTTTTAGAAACGTGATCTAGTTCGAGTAATCAAGTAGGTGTTACGTTATAGTTCGATAGCAACTGCCATAGGCCATTTATATTGCGAGACATAGTACATGTGTGTACCACACGAGAGTAGACAACAATGCTGTAAATATGAATAGATTTAGTATGTCGTGTGTAAGCGTCAACTAGCCGATGTCTGCCGACTCTCGATCCTTGAATCTGATTGAATGGAACCTCTCTCCCAGTGTGCGTGAAAGCGAAGAAAAAGAAAATGATGAGTTGATACGAATGAAAGATTGTAAAGGATGAGACTTATCAAGTAGATAAAGGACTCGATAATGATTGCGAAAGTATAGTTGGTCACGAAACTTCTGGGCCAGTAACCTTACAGTCTTTCATTCTTGGAGATGAATCGAGCGGATGCTCGATCCATTACCGTGACTAATCGCCTCCTTTTTATGTTTCTTTCTTCGGGGTATCTTCTGGAACACCCCGAATTCAGGGTCGTACTTCAATTGCATCATGTTCATGGTGGCGAGTAGCGTCGTTTTGACGGTATTGGTGCTGAACTTTCATCACAGGACGCCGGACAGATACATCATGCCGCAGTGGGTAAGACACACGTATAAACACAGTATAATTAGACTTTAATTCCTTTATGTCGAATTTCTTGAAAATTTCAAGTAATTTAAGATTTAAAGTGATGAACGCGTGATATACATTATTTTTTAGTTGCATTTTATTTTTAATTATAAACGTAATTATGTTACATAATTTATTTTAATCATATTATTTTCTAAATTTCATTTCATTTCATTTTTATTGCATAAAAATATTATTTTTCATTACACGTTATATACTTTCTAAGCGTCTAATTATTGATTATAATATTATCTGTAGAAAGAAATTCTGAATGGATTAATAACAATTGTTGCGTTTCGTTGAATCATTCCAAGTCAAAGGAAATACTTACGATAGAAATAAAATATTTTTGAGCTGATTATAGATTTATAAATAAACGTGCTTTGGTTCAATTATAAAAAAGTTTAAAACGTGAATGAAATTTTATCGAATCCTAGTGAACTCTTCAAAGCAAATTCTTCCTTCTTTTTGTTCTTCCTGAGAAGTCTTTTAAAGATTTGACTGAATTGATTGTTACGATATAACGAAGACCCCGTTCGAACGTTTTTACATTTTGAAAACCTAGAATTAGATTTAAAAAAAAAATAAATGACGAGTGATAATATATTCATCTATGGATGATTAACGGGACAAATTATAATATATACACGCGTTAAAGTTGAAATCACAAAAAAGCTCTTTTCACATTTGCTTTGACCACACTTGATCGATTTCAAAGGTCAAATTAAATCTACTAATTGGTCTGCGGATTTTTATGTATTTATAGGAAACTTGAAGCTGCAAAAACGTAATGTGTAAAAATACATGTAAAAGACTCGAAACGTAATACTCGTTATAATATTCAGTGGGTGAGGTAAATTTTTACTTAACTTCATTTATTTAATCAGATACTAATTTAATTGAAAATTCGCAATTTCGTCTCGTTTTTCGTCCTTGTTTCATATTAGCATTACGATCACTGATCTGTGTTATTATTATTCATCATTTATACTTCTTTCTTGTTAACATTTAGTTATTATTGGATTTTTATGCATTTATAAGAAATTTTTAAGTTGTTATAGGAAAGTTTCTATTTTTTTTATTATATTTATTATATGATTATAATAATTAACTAATTACTATATAATATAATAAATGTTACATATTATTATTATTGTTTATTATATTCATATTATACATGAATTTATATTCTTGCTATTCTTGATTTCTTTTATACATTTAATTGATTACGTATTATAATACATTATCATTATTTACAGTTAATTACACCGACCAAAGGGGCCATTTTTTTTTCTCTCTCAGCTTCGTATTCGATCTCTATGATGAAACAATATTTTACTTTTCTCTTTTTTGATTTTTATTCATCTTTCTTCCGTTTGGTGATGAAGGAAAGTAAATAAATCAAGGTTCTCGTCCAGAGACAAGATAATTATGGTTGCTTTTGACCCTCTGTTTTATTACCTGGGTAACAAAAGATAAAATTAAAGTTGCGTGACCTGCTTCCATCATGAATAACAAGGATTCACAAATTAAGGCAATAAATATTGGATCAAATAAATTTATCTTCTGAGCCTTCTTGCGCAATTGATGATTAATATCGTGGAATACTTTTGTACAAAAGTAATGGATTCGATAATAAAATAATAATGAAATGAAAATTACAGGTCATTTAATTATTCATTTAATGTAAATTGTAAAAGTTATTTTAATTTTAATCGAGATGAATTATTTTGCTTTAATTTGTCAATTCACCAATAGATTACGTTATCATAGATAGTTTATTACGTACAAAAGAAGCAATTTCCAATAATGAGTTATACAATAATAATACAAGAAACATAAACATTCAAAAGTCGAAAAAATATGTTATTACAAAATATTAGTAATATCGCGCCAATATTAAGAAAGGACGTTTAAATTATTAAAGATATTTTATATTCTGTTCAAATACATGGCATAGATGAAAAAGAAGCCCTCGTATGTCAATATATTTTTAATTCTAGAATTTTTATATTACTTGCATTATTATTGTATAACTCATCATTGGAAGCCACTAAAAATATTTTATATTCTTTTCGAATACGTGATAAAGCTGCAAGAAACTCCTCATGTGTCAATACCTTTTTTATTACTTCGAACTATTATTTTATCATTTTATTATCTTTTATTTCATTTTTATATTATTTATATTATTACTGTACAACTCGGTATATTAAAAATTGCTACTGTGTACGTTACTTTTGTACACAGCAGGACTGTCTATAAAAATTTCTAGAGTTTTGTTAACATGTCATCTGTTTTCATGAAAACGTCGCAAGAGAACTAGTCGCGCTGATACTTTCTTTTTTGATCCATTGTACACACGCCGGGATTAAGTAACAAGCTCTCAAAGCTCGTTGAGTTTTATCGAAAGAGCCGGAAGAACTTCGACAGATGTATGCAAAGTGTAGCCAGTGTTTTCGTTCATAAAACCTGCCGCCCTTATCCGCAGTGGCCATTACAGCCATTAAAGACAGTGCTTTAGTCGCTGAAAGTTTAAAGTGCCTTCGAGGCGTTAGCACTTCCTCTTGGCCGTTGGTTACTAGAACTTTCATAAACCAAGGGGGAAACGTACTTCAGTCGCAGACGAGAATCCTACCGGCTACGAAAAATTCCCCGCGTTGGTACTTTTCCCGTGCCATTATTTCCGGATGGGGAGCGAGCGCACCCGGGAAACAAAGAGTACCAATCTCCAATAGAAGTACAAGAGAGAAACACCACCGTCCGTGGCTCGTGATTGTGTGTGTGTGTGTGTGCACGGTATTAAGTAATTCCAGTTGCACGAAATAATTTGAATGAGAAAGGCGAAAGATTTTTCGTACTTTGTTAAATTCCGTTAAACGGCCGACTTTTACGCCGGGGCGAAGAGAGATTTAATTACGGGGAAGAAAAGTTCCATTTCGCGGTGAAGGAACGGACGAAGAAGGAACCAGTTCAGAAACAGGAAGTAATAATAAACGAGATGTTGCGCAAGAGGATTAATTCGGGAGCTGATAAACAAGCGAACGGTTCATTTTTACCATTTGAAAATGGAGAATGTATACGTACGACTGATGACAGAAATCGAATTTCATTTCGCGAAACAAATGAACCGTTGAATGAGAAGTGACAACATGTTATGTGAGATTAAGTGACAAGTGTGACGAAACGTTATGTCAGATTAATTCGAAAGTTGATCACAAAATTAGCATAATTACTGGTTAAGTTTCATACTTTTTCGAACAAACATGTAAAATAAATAAATAATCAGAGAGAATATGTTCAATTTTGTGCAACGAATAAGCAGGAAACCATACATGAAAGAGATTATTTATGAAGTTAATAATAAACAATGTCGCAGCATCGTTTGCTATATGAATTTCACATTTTTTTAAGTTTAAAAATGAAAAAAACTCAGACATTCGAGAGAAAAGTGAAAAGTAATAAAATAATAAGTGAAATGTTTTACATTTAAGAAATTTAATTCAGAAATTAATAGTAAATAAGGGACTTACTTTTAATCTCAATACCTTTACCAGACTTCCATTATCTCAAAACGTACAAAGAAAGAAAATGAACTCACATCATTTTCAAAATAAAATGGCCCAATTTATAGATAAGTAAATTTATGCAAGCCTAAATTTATAAAAATTACGAAAATAAAATGATTGTATAATTGTATTTTATATATAATATGTATTAATATAATACATAATAATAATAATTTATTATTATTTCTAATACATCTAGATACATATACATATAATAATAATATGTACTTTATATATAATATAATTTTTGTCTTATTTCTATATGTAATTATATATTTTTATTTGTATATATATAATATATACAATTGTGACTTTATACAACAACATAAATTTCTTTTTCTTCTCCGTAGATTAAAACAGTATTTTTACAATGCCTGCCGTGTTTACTGCGCATGAGTCGTCCAGGGAAGAAGATCACAAAGAAGAACATTCTGGGTGGCAATCGAAGAGGAAAGAGCATAGAACTGAAGGAGAAGAGTAGCAAGAGTTTGCTGGCGAATGTTTTGGACATCGACGATGACATCCGTCACAAGAATAGCGCGGCAAATCCTCCTTCCGGTTACATAAGGTACTGCATTTCCTCAATATTACTTCTTCAGTTCCTTAATTTCGAGGCAAATCCTCTTCCCTTTTTTATCGTTAGAAGTTTCCTGCCGCGAAAACTAGAAGAAATAATTTAATCCGTTTCAACCGAGACACCGGCATACTGAAACAAAATTCGCGGAAATCCTTTTTACAACGTCTTGCGTATCCCCCTGCGTGCACATTACAAGAAGCTATAGTACAAGAATGTCTCCCATAGGTTCTCGTACAAACTTTGCCACCTGTTAAAATTTGTATTTTCCGCGGTTGGTTGAACTTTATTTCCGGAGTTAAAGTCACTCGATAATGTATGTTTGTCAGATTGCATTGGTGATTTTTGAATAATTAAAGCCTTTCTATACGTATACTTCGTATAATACAATCACCGCTTTTCTCCCATATGTTTTCTAGATTTTGACGAACAAGTATGTTAATCATGTTTTGAACAAAGTATTTTTCACTGCGTCGAAGCAGGGTATCAAATATTTAAAACTATTCACAAGTACAATAAAATTTAGTTCACACTTTTCTGCAATTACAACTTCATTCATTTATGTATTTATAAAGATTCAGGTTGTCATTTACAAAATATTATAATACTCGTTATAAATATATATATAGATATTTTTAGTTAATTTAATACTGTTTAAAAATTGGTTATTGAATTTTATATCAAATTGTTTTATATTTTATTATATTATTATATCGCAGTTGACATACTATTGCACTGCACTTTGTATCAATTCGAAATATGAGTATCGTTTATTCATTTCACATTTTTTA